TTTTTAGACTGGGAAAATCCAATTCAGCCAGTGAATATGATACTACACCCAGTGAATATGATTTTATAAAATGTACTGTTGACAACTGTTTGGACCAATGAGATTGCAGCTATATTTAGATCATATAATAAATAACAATAATATACACGCATATAAGACGTGAAAGAAATGAACAAATAATGATTAAAATGTCATCTATCTATTATGATAAAGTTTTATTTAGTTTAGATGTCTACTTTTGCCCTTTATTTAATTATGACATTTCTTTGATGATAATTGGATACTAGATGACATTAAGGAAATTCAGACACTTATGAACATCAATGTTTTTGTTGGTAAGAAAACCTACTGTTACTACATACTGTTAGATTCTATTGAAAGTTCAAAAATAAGATGAATAAATGTAAAACAGCTAACTAAATTTTGTATGACGAGTGAATACCCCTAAAAAACCCTTCCCCCAAAAAGGTTTTGTTTTTAAAAAAATTTGGGTTTTTTAAAAAAATTTTTAAATTTTTTTTTGGACTGAAAAATTTTTAATTTTTAAAAACGGGGTGCCCAAAAAAAAAAGAAAAATTAAATATATTTTAAGGGCCCTTTTTAAAATTTAAATTTTTGGGAAAAAACGGTTAAAATTTCAAAATTTGCCGGGTAATGTTTAACTTGTCTTTAATTTAAAAGGGAATTCCTTAAAAATTTTTTTTTTTTAAATTTTTTAAAAAGGTTTTTGGGGGTTTTTTGGTTTTTGAAATTACCCTTTTTTTAAATAGACAAATAAACAATGGGGAAATTTTGTAAAGAAAAGAAAAACCGTTGCTAAAAAATTAATATTTTTTGATTTGAAATTTAAAGTAACAAATAGCTTGTCCTTCCTTCCTTTTACTTTTCCTTTAACAAATGATTTGGATTTAAAAAGGGTTTTGGGGAAATTTTTGGCCATTTTGAAAAATTTTTTTTGGGTGAATGCCTTGTTTGTTTAATGTTTTTTGCAAAAATTATTTGTGGCGTTACAAATTGTATTTTTTAAGATTTTTTTTTTTATAAACCCAAACAATTTTTGTTTAAACTTTTGCTTTTAAAAAATTAAAAAATTCCCAAAATGGGTTTTAAAAAAAAAATTTTATAAAAACTAAATTATTTTTTTTTGAAAAAAAATTGGGAAAAATAACAAAAATTTTTTAATTTTTTTTCCAAAATTGGGGGTTTTTGTTGAACTATCCAACTTTGCCCCCCTTTTGGTAAAAAAACAAAAAATAACCCCCAAAACAATAATTGGAATAAGTGATGATTGGAAAACTTTTTAAAATTTTTGGCTATAAAAAAGATCAAAATGTTCAATATAATGTTTCCACACGTCATGGACAATCTAAGTTATCATGCTAGTTTTTGTATGTTTGATATTCAATCAGTACCATCAGTACAACAACAAAAGCTTAGGAGTGATATTAAATAATAATCACTAGAAAATATACATAAAAGGTTACAGTCATGAAAAAAACAGCTAGTTATTTGAAGCAATTCATTATATCGCAAGAATAACTCTGTTGATTGCATCAGTAAAAATAATGCTTGGATTCCATTAGGTTATACTAGCTGCATGGCTTTTTATGTTAGTTTTTTATATTCATTTCATTAGGCAAGTAATTTATGACGCAATTAAAACCTTAAAATTTTTCATCTTGAAAAACATGTATTTCAATACAGTGACTACAGAAACCCTCATTTTTCACATATGATTTCATGGAAATACAATTAATTGCTCAAAAGCTATAATTAATGTAATAAAAAATGAAAATAATATACTTCATTCATATCAGATTTCAATCAAATACTACAATATGTAATGATATCACTAGAGTTTTTATTAAAAATAAATAAATAGATAAATTATAAATCTATGTACAATCGTTTGTAAGTTTCTAATATTCTAACATAATGTATACTTTAGACCTACATGCACAAAATAATAAATGAAAATGAGTAAGCAATTCTGCAAATAGAAAATACGTTATTGCCAAACATTCCGCAGATGTTAACATTTGACGCATGTTGTAAATCTTCCAGAAGTCTACCCCTTTGGCGAAGCGCTGCAATAAGCTCTGGTGTTCTGGTTAGATAATTTTATATAAGTATCTTTTCATTATTTTTCATTCATTATACGTAAAAACGAAGTTCAAATTAAGTTTCCTTTTTTTATTTTTGGATCTGTTTTTTAAAACCAAATATAACATACTATCATATTCACGGAATGATTTTTGATTGTGTTAAAATAAAACTGCGCTAGTATAGATATAATAATTAATGATACCAATTGACTGTTAACTGTCAACGAAATGTGTTAATTTCGATATTACATTTGTTTAAATGATGATGATTTTTTATTAAAATGTTTTAGTTTTGCAACGATTCACTGATATATCAATTCGCAGCATAACATATCAAAAATCCAAATAAGCTCTCGAGCATTATTGGCCTTTGTAATGATAAATACAAAGTATTTTTAATACAAGGGTCCTTTGTTATGTAACTTAGGAAATATCGTGAAAGTATAATATAAAAGATAGCAGCTTGTTCACATTTAAGTCATAAAATAAATATTAATATCATATTCAAAATAAATTAAATAATATATTTGATAATGCTGCTTTCAATGTTTGCTAGATTTACATTGTGCTATATACTATACGTATACATACAAACCTAACAAAAGAGGTATCAAAAATCATTATCATTTCAGATATAATAATAACTCAATGAAAATAATGATAAATTTCAAAATCCTAGCCATTTCAAAGGCACTGACACGTCGGTAATCCATGTCAGTTTGGTTGACAAATTTCCAATCAATTAAACAGTGTACTAATATTTCATCTTTGCAGACACTGCAATAAATATTGTTATCATTGTCAGTTGATTCCGCGATAACATTCTTTACAATCATAAATATATTTGCCAGTTTTCTCCTCATTTATTTTCAGCACACGCGAATGAGTAAAAATTACATGACCATTCGAATGATTTCACATTTATTCCAGGTACTCTTACAACAATGGACCTGTTGACAATTGAAAGGAAACCAGCAAAAAAAGTTTGCAATTGCGTAAACAATGAATTAACACCTCCAAGATTCCGTTCTGTACAAAGGATATTTGAAGTAATAAGAAGAAGTTTTGCCCTTACTTGTGTATAATAAAAATTATATTTTACATCTTACATTTGAATATACAAATATACAACGTTGAAATACTTTAAACAAATTCATTCTATCTTTTCAAATCCATTACCTTGGTTAAATGACACAAACTTTTAAAAAATGTCCTTGTTTTCTTTCTCCTCTATTTTATTTTTGGCTATTTTGTCTAATATATGTAATTTACTAAAGTAGCCTTTATTTTTACAGGGATAACATGCGGAAGACATAAACTCGTCTTATTGCATGTTTGCATCTCGTCAAGCATAGCAAGTAAAAATATTAATCATATTATTATACTGATATTTTCCTTTGAATAACCATGTATTACTATATTTCAATAATCTTTATGATCATTTGCATTATTTCATTTTTCATTTATATTTTGCTTGGCCATATTTTTTTGTGATAGTAAACAAACACCTTAATAAAAATAACTTAAAGAAACATCGAAGAATATGTCAAATATGTACTGCAAATATTTGTACATATTATATGCAATCATTAAAAAATATGCATTCATTTGTTACTGAAAAAATTGACTTAGACTTTATAGAATTTTTTTTATTACCTCCCTTTATTTACATAAAATGTTAAATCCGGTAATAATGCTTTTTTGAACTTACACAATTGATAAATCTTAATTTGAGCATCATATTTATGATATAAAACAATAAAAAAAAGCTTGTGTTACAGGATATTAAAAGACGGTTACATGTCTTTATTGTAATGATAGATAGGTTTTTAATAAAATATCGTAAATAGTAAACTTTTAGGGTTTTAAAAAATTGAAGGAACATTTTGCTGAATAAATCATTCTACCGTTAAAGGATGTTAAACAAGAAAAGTATATTTATTTACTATAATAACGGAATGACTAGATGACCTGTAAATGCGTACGTAACGGAGGCAATGAGGATTATAGCTTTCACACAACACCATTCACAATACTATGCATAGTGTTCGAATTCTGATGCCTTTTTAAGAATGATTCATAAAACTACAATAATTGTAATGTACACATAAAAAATAGACTATTTAGTAAGTAAGAAATAAAAGTTGGAAGATGTAGTTTTAAATTATTTCTCAAATGAAATTCGAATTTTGCTAAATAATTAAATCCTTCCTGTTTAACAAAATAACAGAATTAAAGGAAAACTTATATAAGACAAATAAAATGCAGCCAAATATTTTATTTAAAAAAGAATGAAAAACAGTAGTAAGGTATAAGCAATTCCAACTGTACTTAATCAAAGACAGACATCTTTAACTGTATAAAATTTGATTGACTACAATGATATGCTTGTTATCAATTATATTTATCGCCGAGTTTGTCTTAAATAATACTAGCTATATTAAACATACATATTAGGGCAACAAATACAAACTTTTTAGGTTAGTTATATCCAAGCAGGAATACTGGAACAACCCAAAAGGAAGAAGGTGGAAATAAAAGATGAAATAAAACAAACATCGTCATAACAATTATGTTGTGCTTAATGATCTAAAATGATTGAAAATATAACACATCCGAGTAAATACATAATATCACTAAGTTTATAACTGTATTAAATCATCATGTAGGAGATAAAGAATAAAGATAATAGATAAGTCATATGTACATGCATTTGCATAATAAATTAAATCAATCAAGTGTTAATGCACTAATTTTGTGGTTTCTATCTATGAATAAGGTTGCGTGTACTAGGTCACATGTTTCTGAACTAAAATTTGTAAATGAACAATATCTCATAACAATACCTCTTAAAAATTTCACCACAGAAGAGAAAGATATTGTTGAATAGTTGTTACGATCAAAGATAAAAATAAAATAGCACAAGTTTAAACGCTTTTGTTTCAATTTAGTCATTCACAGTTGACTATTTAACTTGTTTTTTAAAACCCTGGATATTTAGTTAGGAGAGTATTTTAATTCAGTTGCTGCAAGCGTTAAACCTTATTTACAAGAGAAAACTTGCTTTTGACACAGGGAAATGTGAACGTTTTTATTAACGACATTGTAAAAGTATTTAAAACGTGGAAAATTACGTAATGTTTCAACCGTAGTGTGAATTGTAAATATATTAAGGTAACAGTGTAATTAATTTTTATTTTTTTTGTAATTATAAAGTTCGTGAAGGATGAGACAAAGATGTTTACTTAATTGCTTTCTTTGAAGTAATATGTGAAAAATACATACGACTTATATTCATGTCTATAATCAAGTAAAATGTTTTTTTTTGTTGTATTTTTATAGTTTGATGCTGAAAAATTTGTATTCAGTTGGAATATTCTTTGGTAATACATGTCATTTTGTTTTAGAACTTATTTTAATCTAATTTTGAACTTTAGAAAGGTGTTTATGTGTTAAACTAATAAGTCAAATAAAAATAAGCACAAGGCAGAATGCATTGTATAACACCTAAATAAAAACGCCATTGAGAATGAAAGTCACAGTACCTATATAATCATCATTATTCTTCAAAATCATATTATATATGTATATACAAATTAAAAAATATTTAAATTGTCAATATAAATGTTTACTTCTTACTTTGTTACATAGGATAATACAGTCGAAATATTGGAGAACTTTAGTCCGAAGCATAATGTTGCTTCAGTATTGTAAGTACTGTTTTGCACCTGTTTATGATTTTGATCATTTGACTTTATATACTAAATAATTATCAATTCATAAAAAGAATGCTATATAAAAGCTTAACAAAATAAATTGTTTCATTTCTTTTAAAGGAGTGCGAAGTTACAAGATGTCAATATAGCATTTAAAAAATGACATGACTAACGTAATCAGACTATTTTCAACCTTTATAAGGTTTTTTTGTGTGTGTTAGGAGCAGCGTGGGCGGTACTTTGCACTTGCCAGTTCCGTCTATATACAAATTATTTAATTATTAATATCATACCTGTTTATATTTTTTGCAGACATTACAGTTCTAACATATTTCGGAGTTTTGGACTTTATGAATGCTGGTAAGTTTGTCTTCTAAATGGAAGATATATGTTTGTTTTGGGTGAATATAATATTAAACGTATATACACCAGCATTGAGAAACAAGAAAATGAAATTGTAATATTTTGAATGTGTGTATAAAGGTTATTTTCTTATATAAGTGTCAATATATTTTTGTGTCGTTTTTTTTTACACGTTTTCTTTTAAAAATATTTTTTATAATAGTGATAAAATGATCCGATTTAAAAAATATGCTATGAGAAGTTTATTTTTATTCATTTAATACATTTGCAGACCCCACTTGTTTTGACTCTGAAAAAAACTGTGCACTTTGGGATTCGATTTTTAAAATCTGCAAGATGCCTGATAACGCAAAGAAAGTTTGTCAAAAGTTTTGCGAATTATGTGATGCGGGTATGTATGGTACTAGTCACAGTTTATTTCAGCCATTTAAATGGATTTCATAAACGCTACACATAATTTGCCTTTATTTTATTTTTTGTTTATTTTTGCTTTAATTTAATGCAATCTAGAACTACCACTAGTCTAAACTGGAATATTTCTCACACCAGTTTAAAAGTAAGGTTTTCACATTTTGACTAAGGTTGGTATTGCTTGGACTGGGTATGCCTTGTTCCAGCGCCAATTGCAGTTTTATGCTGGAAAAAAGTCGTTGGAAGCAATAAGCAATGAAGTGAGGAAGAAACGGAATTACATGACTGATAAATTTTTGTTTTACAAAGTTAAAAGGTATCATTTTTCGGGGAAAAATATCAAATAGTATCTTTTCCGCAACAGTATTCCGGTGTATATTTAAATATTACCGGATTTAAAGATCACCGGACAGTCTACTTTCTCTATTTTTTCACCTGTTAATATTGTAACTTTTAAATATGTATAATTAATTGACTTAAACATATGCCTTGTTCTCTTTCTTCAAAAGTAACTGTTAGTCAATGTCTAAATGACACAGACGTCTAACTTCAGAAAAGGACTCTTATATTTGCATAGCAAAAAATTAAAGACACAAAACTAGGGGTAAAAGGGAAGATACTTACCAAAGACGAGAAAACAAGGGACACAAACAAAAGTGTCACCAAAACAGTATGAAACAACAAAGTCATACATCTGATGAACACAGAGAGGCACCGCCGTTAGCAGCATAAGCAATGCTGGGGAGTTTAAACCAGTTAATGGTGCACTAAACCTCACTCTTAGCCCCACAATGTTCTTTTAAACGAGACACGAATCCCTGCCAAGTGAAATTCTAACAGTTGTTATGATTGCAAAAGGTGAAATAGGAAGAACACTAATCATTTAGATACATATAAAAGTAAACCCAATGACCTTAACAAAGGTACTCAAAGGAAGATAGAGCAACAAAAAATCACATAAAAGGGCCCGACGAAGCAAACAGAAGATAACATTAAGACAATTCAGTCCCAAATGACCTTTAAAAACTGTCCATAATAGAGTCTCCCACTTGGTCCGTCAGATGTATTCAAAAGAGCGAAGCGTAGTGTCCAACTGTGAAAGGATTGAACGCTAAGCATGCAGTACGTCTTAAAATAGTAATGTCATAAAAAGCTAATGTATTAGAATTAAATATTTTAAGGTTTCAACCTTATATATGTAAGGAATAATCACAATTTTATGAGGCATGTGAGGGATGTTGTACTATTTCGTTATCCCTTATGTACAGACTCTAACCGAATCACTTTTTCCAGATATTTATGGGTGATCCTTATCATATTTTGAGTTGTTTATATTACACGTCAAAAACAAATGCAGACTATACGTGCAACATCTAAAATGACTTTACGTTTTTTGTAGCTAAACCACATTTGCTCATTAGTCCTATCGGATATTATCATCAACTGATAATTTTAAAGTTTTTAAAGTCTTTACAGACCTAAATAATTTTGAATTTAAATGGACTCAGATTCGCATGAACTGCATTCCAATGTTTTTATCAGTATGCTAATAAATTTTAGTAGATGGAAGTTGGACAGTTTGGTCTTCATGGATGGGGTGTGATGCAACTTGTGAAAACGGCACAAGAGGTCGGCTTCGCACATGCTCACATCCTAAGCCAAGTTTTGGTGGCAACGATTTTTATGGTGATGCTTATGAATTGGAACCGTGCAAAGTTCCAAAGTTATGTCCTGGTAAGAAAATGAGAATTATCGTTTAAAATCCCTCGTTTTAAAAAAATTTGAACAAACATGAACGTTAAAACACATCTGGGATTTTTTTAAATTAAAAATTTCACCAGTTTGTTTTTAAATGGAATTGTTAAAAGCCGGTCTTGGGGGGAGGGAATTGTATTTTCCTACGCCATGAACAGACCAATAATTTTGAGCCTGCAACATTTTACAAATTATGCAGTTTTGGGATTTTCTTGGGGTTTTATTTTCTCTATTAGAAATTGCAATTGTTTTTAGAAATTTAAACTTCAAATTGAAACATAAGAAATGTAAACAATAAAAGTAAAAAACCTTTTAAAATTTTGTGCAAATGATTGAGAGTAAGTTCATTTGTTCGTTAGGTTGCAAACCACCTTTTTTTTTACTTTCTAACCAATTAAATTTGAAACGATTTTGCAATTTCCCATATTTGGAATTTATCAGGAAAAGGCGAAACTTAATAAGCGTGCCATTTTAGAAGCAGAAATAAAAGAGGTAACTTTGGGATAAAAAAATATTTTCAAATTATATAAAAACTTTTTATAAATTTACATACATTACAACTGCGATTACAGTTGACCTTTAATATCCTCTGATTTGTTAAACGTATTCTAGCAAGAATATTCAAGGAGTGCAAAATTGTTTAAGAAATAAGTACAATGTAAAAACGTTTGTACTGATAACTGAGCATAATATGCAAAAACTTAAGTTCAGTGAATACATAAGGGGAATGTTTCCATATAATGACACAAACCAGTTTAACAGACACGATTAGAATTTGCGTGTCTTAAACGTTAGCAACGGTAGTAAACATACACACCGTAAAATTTTTTACAAATCACAATGCGATACATGGAAGTCTTCTTTCTTTAAAGATTATATTGGTTGTAGATAAAACCAATTTTGACCAGTGTATAACTACGAAAACTATTCAAAGTTAATTTTACTATCGAATTTAAATCCGTAGATTACCAAGAACTGTGATTTTGTCCCATTTAATGTTTGAAATAAACAATTCAAGTGTATCATATCTCTGTTACTTCAATGGGGAGGTTTTTGAGTCATAGGATGTATTTAGCCTTATTAAATATATGTCAGTTGACGTAGGTTTTTTTATTAAAATAACACTCTTAAGTCTGTGATACATGCTGTTAGTAGCTGTTACCTAGACTTGTTTCTCTCTGATTAAAAAGCAGAGAACAATTTTTTAATGTTTACATGAAGATACTACACAGATATTTTATTAGGTTTGTTAAGTGATGGCTTTGAGAGATAAAATAAAACAAAGGTATACATAATTTGATACATATCCTTTGGACTCATTTCAATATTATAATTGAAAAAATATGGTCAAATGGAAAAAAATTTATATAGTATGGTAAAAATAAAAATTGTGTTCGAAAAGGGTTCATACAACTTGGTTTTAATTTTTTACTATTGTTAAAAAAATTCTTGTCAAGACATACGCTAGAATTAAGGTTACTAATGTAACAGTAAATGCTACTACTGGGAAAGACAATAGCCAGAATTTTGTCTGTATTAGTATTTAGTATCAAGTCGTATTAAAATCTCTTGATTAGATGTTGACTTGAAAATTTGAAAGCTTAACTGTCAATGTTACTCATTCTTTTGCACATTGGAATACTCTCAGTTAAATTTAATTATAAACTGATGTAAAGAATAGAAAAGATATATTTAGAAACCATACAACCGTCTCTATAACATATGCTTATTTATCTCTGAAACTTTTATAAAAAAGCTTTTAGTCATTAATTGTAAACGTTGAGACCACATCTTCAAATACAGTACACGGTGGCTGGCAGACTTGGCAAGATTGGAGCGCATGCTCAACAAGCTGTGGTGTAGGAATGCAGAGTCGTTACAGGAATTGCTCAAATCCTGTCCCAGATCGCCAAGGCAATCATTGTTTTGGTAACAGCCTCGAAGACAGATTGTGTTATCCAGGACTGTGTGCAAGTATGTATATTTACAATTCATACTCAAAGCATACCTTTTGGCACAACGCCATTAAAGCAAATTTAAGAAAACAATAATTATACAACTCGAAAACAACCACTAAGATGCCCTCAATTTAGTATCAAAATGTTCTGCTTCGCAGATGTTTGGTCGAAATGGCAGCCATGGGATGCGTGTAGCGATAGTTGCAAAGGTGGAATTCGTACTCGATCTAGAATTTGCTCGAATCCATCACCGTTTACAGCAGAGGGTGATTGTCCTGGTAATTCTACCGAAATTAAAACATGTGATGATAAGCTTTGTAAGTCTTTACATCTATACATTACTGGCATTATTAATAAACGTATAATTGTAACTATTTCCATTGCTATTTAGCCTTCCTGCAAGATACATTGTTGATTAAATTATTCGAAACATACAAATAAGATCAAACGATTTTACAACATTTAAATGGTCATTTCCTTTTTTAACACTTAGTATTTTTAATCATAAAGAATAGACTCCACTATGCTTTATGCGACTTTAGATACCTTGAGATGTTTAAGACGGCTTCAAATAAGGGATAATATAAATTAAATGAATGTATAGGATAGTAATAGCAATTGTTCTAAAATTTGTTAAAATGTAGGTTTCTCCGACTGCTATGAAATTCATCAAAAGCAAAACAAGTCACAAAGTGGTATTTACAATATAACCTTGTGGAAGACAAAGCAGACAATACAAATGAAATGTGATATGGACACCGACAAGGGAGGTTGGACGTGAACATTTAATTTTGATAACAAAAACCATAAGAATCGGACGAAGGTCTTTTATTTATTGATATAGTATCCGTTATACATGTATGTACTAGTAATATGCAAATTGGAACAACAAAATTAATACATTTTCTTATTTCATGTTGTTGTCATATTGTTGTTTTAAACATTCATAATGATTATTAAAAGGAAAATTTGAATGTTGGTTATGGATGTTGGATAAAAAAACCGAATTTATATTTTTATTGACACTGAAGTCATACTAAGTTCGTAATATCAACTGAATTTGTGAACAATAGTACATGGTTCAGATTTGTCCTCCGGTGTGTATGTGCTGTCAGCTTTTTATAACATATTTTTTATAAAAATGATTTCCATTAGATAAATTAGTACCGTGGGTATTTAAATCGAATCTTATAAGGACATATTCTTCATTTTTATTGTCTTATGATTTCAAGTGAGAACGTATTGAGTAGTAACATCTAATAAATTATCAGTACTATAATTGAACTACATCAAATAATTGAGTTATTTTGATGATATATTTTAACAACAGGTACTGCAGTATCGCTTTAATGGATCAGTTAATTTCTATAGAAATTTCACAGAATACGAAAATGGTTTTGGAAATTTAGCGTCAGAGTTTTGGCTAGGTATATTTTTTTCGATAAGATTTTATTTTACAGAAATAATTTGTCCACTTTGTGGGAAGCCCTGAGTCCAAGGTTATAGAATATATAAGATCAAACTTAGATCTCAGGTATGGATTGGTCAGAAACCAGCATATAATATGCACCGACCGATGCAAATCCTGCGATCCGTGACAGAACTCATAAAAAGGGACATTTGCAACTTGTATTCATTTACTTATTATGTATAATTTATAACTTTTCATCTATACCTTATAATTTATGTCCAAGCATAAAGCATGGCTTTTGTCATGGCTTATTCTTTTAAATACACGTGTAAGGAGACTTTGTAAATTATCTAGAAGTGTCAGGCAAAAGATTCATCTTTTAAAAACCGACAAATTACTTGAATTCCGCTCTAGATCATGTCAGTAGTTAAGTTTATTATGTACAAGATTGTGTCATTCTTCAACAATCTTTTGTTTGTAATTTCCTAAATACTGGTATTTGAAATTTAAATGATATTATTTATGCTGATGATCAGATCGCTAATAAAGACACCGCTGATTGTCCCAGAAAAGATATATCTGTTTTGATATAGTTTGGAAAGTTTCAAGACATTATCCTTTGAACATATTTTATAAACATTTTTACATGAATATAGGACTGAAATATGTCCAGGAAATGGCATCTAACGGCAAAACAGAGCTTAGAATAGATCTAACTGCGGCCGATGACACAACTACTTTTTCAACATTCAAAGATTTCTACCTTGGGGGAGGGCCTTACTATAATCTCCATATCAAACGAGGAAATGCTCAGCTGGGTAATTCATTTTTCTTAATTAGGTTTCCTTGTTGCAAGGGAATACAAAGCTAAGACTTACAAAAATTCTATTTTAGGTGTCCAGGCAAATTACTTATGCAATATACATCATTGTTATGTTATATTATTTATCTTAATTCTGTATTTTTTTTGATAAATTGCATTTAACTACTTCTACATTTAATATACAATTATGATGATTATGATTTTTATAAATTCCTAAAAGCTTAAGATATTATATGAAGCATATTTTATGTGCATGTATATTGTAAATAGATTCCGGATATTATGGTTTGTCAAACAGCAATGGGCGTCCTTTTTCAACATTTGATGTTGACCGTGATAACTATTCTTCTCGGAATTGCGCTGTCTACAACCATGGGGCCTGGTGGTACAATGGTGTCGGCCACATTAATCTGAATGGTGACTATGTTAAACCTGGTAGCGTACGACACACAAATCGTCGCGCTGGAATGGTCTACTACTTATTTCAAAACAACTGGACATCTCTGAAAGTCTCTAAAATGATGTTCCGTCCAGTTTGAGTTTTTTGGAAGAAAAGTTATAACACTTATTTGCTTAACAACATTTTTTTTACGTTTTTCATCTTCATTTTTTTTTAAATTTTTAATCTTTATTTTTATATTCATCGGATATATAACGATTTAAACAAGTTATATATAATGGTTTATATGAAAGACACAGTTCCTAAATCTCATTTCTCAGTCCTATTAAATCTTGAATCTCGCTGATCTATAATCATTTAATCATTTTAATCATTGCAGCCATGTATACAAAACCTTTTTCGTTCGGCTGTGTTTAGTCTTTTGAAATCCATTATATATATTTAAAATGACATTATGCCAATCGAAGTGTAAATGGCGAATATAAAAGTAATAGTCAACATAACTTTACATTTTGTCTAGATTGTTTGTATTTGATATTTCAATACGCAAAGTTAAAGTACAAGTAATACATTTCCTACATAAATTCCAAAACAAAATCTATGCTAATACATAGCCTTCGGAATTTATCAATAAAATTTAATTGATCGAATAAGTGGGGCAGTATTTTTATATTTTTGGTAGTGTATTAATTCTTTTGTTATTATTATCATTCTCAAAAATAAGCCAATAACCATAATGATAGCCATCTTTAAAAATGTAAAGTCAATTACCAGTTCACCCTGCCAGCAAAAAGAATGAGCCTTATGCTTTTTTTAAGTTAATAATTTGCTCGTGAGTTATGGAGCATGACGTATGATTATTATCTTCAAACTATTAACCTAGGAAAGTAACCTTAATTACGGATTATATTATCTTAGATGATCGCTTTTTTGAGTGATTTGAATAGATTTAAAACTAAGGTGTGCAGCATTTGATTCCTTTTTAATTGTTTTATTATATTGTTTGTATAACCGTCTTACTGTAATAAAAGTATGATAATATTTTTTTTGCAACAAAAATCAGTATTTGCTGTTTGTAAAATACTATTTAAAAGATATTAAAGGAATGCAGTATTCAAAGGACATTGAAAACATGTAATTAAGCGTTTGTTATAAATTATACTTTAATAAGTATTCAAGTCAATGTCAACATTTTCTCTCCTCTACAAATAAATTCAAACGTGTCTAATGTTTATACAAAAATGTTTATCGGCTGAAGAAAACTTTAAAATGAACAGTCCAAATAAATTATACAGTTTAACCTACTAATATCCTGATGATTTATAAACGAATTATAAACAGTAGTGTTTGATATCATATATTTTTGTCAGTTTAATATCTTATAAATATTTGCTTTATCTCTTTAGTTTTGATGTTCAGGTAGCTTCAAGTTGTATCTATCTTATTTTCGTTTAAACTTTATAGTATTCGTTTGCTCTCTGTATTTATTGAATCATGCAATATAAAATGCAGCTATAACATTTAATTTATTGTTTCAACACAATACATTCAAGGAAATACAACGTTTTCTCATTTTTGAGAGTGCCATTTATTACCTCACACAAATAACTCTTATTTGTAGCGTGGTCTTTAGGTAATGAATAATGATTTTTGTCATTAATTGAGACGAAAACATGCTTAACTGATAAAAGCACGTGAGCACGCAACGTTATTTGAAGTGTTTTAATTTGGAAAAATTATCTAAAAATATTGGTACTTGTTTGTTTTTATGAAGCAAGCACACATTAATCATTGCACACAAGAAACAAGAAGACATTTTTCTAATCTACATGCAATACTTGAGAAAGTAATTAAGAAAGACACAATGCATTGTTCAGTTTTACTATCTCACTGTCCCTCTTTAAATGCCCATATATTGCATGAGGAGGGCATACAATTATCATCACCATATGAATTTCGAAAATTTATTATAGATCTATAAAGATAGAAAATACGAAAAGAGCTTAGCCATAAATTATAAAGATTTATATTCAAAAGGACATAAATGACAGTACAAATTAAGCGTAAATAATTATTAATGAAGACAATAATATGCATATTGCATGCATCATGCGGAAAAAAAAACAACATTTAATTTTATTAATGAATCTGTTTCGATATTCATTCTGGAATATGGAAGCACATATTTTTCCTATTACTGCTGATATATTTCATAATCAGCAACTTCGTTATGCGTAACATAGTAACACAATAAACGCTCATTTCTCGTTTAAGATATTAATGTGTTATAAAGAATGAAATAAAATTTACAAACACATAAACAGGTTTAATTTATGTACAGGTTTAATTTATGTATTCTAGTCACAAATAAAAGAGATATAATCAGTTTATTCAAAAAATGATTAGTGTTAATATGCATAAATATGTAAACTCTCTTATTTATTTTCCAATGAATGCCTAATAAAGAGAGTTCTGGAATAAGGTTGCTGGTTCGAACCCGAGAGGCCATTGTACATCGCACATCAGTCTTATACGAGAAGAAAATACAACAATTTATGTTATAACTTTTTTATTTCTTTTGACGAACAATTTCCATCATGACTGGGTATAAAAACAAATTATAGAGCTTTATATATACACATCATATTTGCTCCGACAACGGTCGCAAATAGAAATACGTTATGTTAAATTTCAGCCAAAAAGGTGCTCGAAGAATGAGAGTACCTTCCGCCAAAGCGGTTTAACATAGCGACTTAACCCAGCCACGTTGCAAAACTAAAAAAATATATATATACATGTATACTTTTAGGAATTACTAACAACCAATACAGTCACTTAATCACATCGGGAAGATAGGACTGTTGAGTTGCCTGAATGAATAAATTGCTCCGGAAATACTATTCAGCGTAAGGTCGTAACCAGTGGGCGACAAGTGTGTATCGTCGTACCTAAAGAACATTGGGGCGAGAGTTATATCCGGGTATTTTAGGTAGTGACCCCCGCCATTTATGACATAGGTGGCTATTGAGCTGTTTATACGTTTTCTTGCTCGGTCAGCGTGATATACATCCGGCATATAACGCCATGATCGCCTTGGTAAAATCTGTGACCAAATTATTTTTGTATATGGAAACTTACTTCTGATATTATCTATAATTATTTTGAGATCCGCAATAATAGCAGCAGATGTTTTAAGGCCTATATCATTGCCTCCACAATGAATAAGAATATAAGTCGTGGGATCATTCTGCTTAAAGGAAGTTAAGTAGGCTATACTTTGTTCGAGATACTCGATTTTCATATCACCCATATGTTCCCATACAAGATTACCACCAATAGTTTTCCGTAACCCTAGATTAACGCCGTCTGGTCTTGAACACAGTCTCTGATATGCACCGCTTATAATGGAGGAACCAATTATCCAGACATTAAAGGAACCTGAAAATTTGGAGCTTAATCGTCAATATTTATGTATAGGAATCCGACAACGGTCTACCTATACAGTGATAGCAAATGTTACATTTAAGATGCCAAAAGCGGATCGCCGACCAATAACAACCTTATATATAGCGTTTGAGTTAAGAATTTATACCATCAATCGATCTGGTATTATTATCATAATTATATTTGTCACATTATTATTATCATTCTGCAATCATATTATCATTTCGTCATTATATTTATCAACCTATCATTATACTATTGCAACGACTATCATAATATTGTCGTTATCATCACGTAATCATTATCTTTATCAAATTATCATTAGTCTGGAATTATTATCATAACAACACAGACATTATGATATTATTGTCAAACAGTCATCATTATCTTTATCAAATTATCATTCATTTTCTGAAATTATTATCATAGCAACATACATTATGATGTTATTATCATCATCATGTCATCATTATCTTTATCAAATTATCATTATTCTGAAGACATTATCATAACAACACAAACATTATGGTGTTATCACCGTCATTTCATCTTTATCTTTATTATTTCATCTTTATCTTTATTATTTCATCATACAACTTTATCTTTATTTTTTGGCATTTGGCAGATCCTTTACAATATCTTTATAATTTAGAAAAATAAGTAACTGCTATCACTTGACTGGTTTAACCTTCGCGACTCATATTATAAGACGTATAGTACGCATAATCACATCAGATAACACGTATATATTATATACATATAACTTTTTTTAAATGCAAAACAAACATGAACTGGCGTAAAGAATTAAATAGTATGAACTACTTATTTATGTGATTAGCAAAAATGTGGTTAAATGAACCGACAACGGCTTCAGGAAAAAAAACCGCAGTATTGTCTTAAAATAACGAATATAAGACTTATAGGCATCAGACCTCCACCTGCCATTTGTTTTGATAGTTTCTATAAGACACCCATCTCTATACATCCCTGAAGCCCGCCCTATCCTAAAAAATGAGACCTTATCTTGTTGTTATCCAGACCAATGAATTTAACAGCCTTTTTGAGAACAGCATTGAACTGGTAAGAAGTCAGAGGAGACCCATCAAATGGCAAAAAAGGTGGTCAGTATTATTTTGGCACTGACGATAGTTAAGATAAGAGTGAATATTATCATAACAAAACTTGTTTTTTCCCTCAATTTCGATATCGAGAAATGTGCCACGACCTCTTTGATCAGTTTTCGAATGTTTCATGTATAAACGTATTTTGTCCGAACCCATAGTAATGTCATGTATTGACAGGAAATGATTTGATGACCTCTTGTTGCGTGAAGTGAATTCACTCACTCTAATGAGTGCAATATATGCGAGTGAAAATGCAGCTGCAAATAGCATGTACTCGTACTGAGAGCGACAGACACTTTGTAACGCTGAAATTAACTTTTTTAATATGTCATCTGTTACAGGCTGACGTGTATCATTTGACCCTCTTGTTCGTCTTAAACCTTCAAGCATACGTTTCACCTTAAACTTTTTTGTGTTATCAACCATATCGTGAAGCTTAGTGACATAACTTATAGCAGATATGTAGCTATTTATTGTTTTATAGGCGTACTGTTGCAAGGACATGACAGCTATTATATTGTTTATGAGTATTTTCTGCCAATGATTCATAAATAAGTCTATCTATTTCTGGCTGAAGAGACGTAGAAAGGCCTTTGGTATACTGCATGGCTGTTTTGCTGCATTTTCTGGTAATTCCTGATACAACCTTGCCCACTGAAAGCGACTTAAGTTTAACTTTGTGCTAACATGTTTACCTTTGAACTGAATATTATTTTGTAGTATGGAAAGCATTAAAGGTCTAATCAGATTCATATAACTCACTTGTTTTTTGACGATTTTTTATTCAAAATATGAACTAAAGACTCATTATCAGACCGAAACATAACCTTTTTGTTTTTCATTGCATTGCCCCATAACTCGAGAGCTAGAACAATAGGCCCGAGTTCAAGATATGTAATGTCCTTAAAAATAAACTCCTCCCAGTTGGCTGGCCACTTAAAGGCACACCACTGACCTTTAAAGTAGCAGCCACAGCCCAAATTTTTGTTGCCGGAGGCGTCAGTGTAGAGTTCAATAAATGTATTCTCTGACCAATTCTTCTCATTAAACATGGCGAGTCCGTTAAATTCAGAAAGGAATGTGAGCCAGGTCATGGCGTCATCGCGCATGTCCCTGTTTACACGTATAAAATGAAAAGATTTTTAACCTTAGACATAGAATCATAAAATCTTCGCAAGAAAGCTCTACCAGTAGGGATAGCCTTTGTGATAAAGTTAAGTAAACCTACTATAGACTGAAGTTCCTTCAAAGTTATTTTTTTGAAGATATAAGCCGCAAAAGTTCGTCTTTAGCTTTATTTATTTTTTCTGAGGGTACGTGAATAGTTTGATTCTC